TCCCAGTTCCTGCTATTGAGCCTGGTTTCACCCGGTCTATTAGATGTGTCCTTTGGGTTTTTCTTGCCTAAGTCTAGGAATTTCCTTTTCTCTACATTGAATTTCATTTTGTTAGACACGGCCCAGGGTTCCAGTCTGTCAAGATCCCTCTGGATCTTGAGCCCATCTTCTTGGGTGTTAGCCACTCCAACCAATAACTCCGAGACAGCCATCCACTCAAAAGTTCTGTTTTATTTGGAGAGTAAACTGGCACATCTGGGAAATCTCGAATCTGAAAGTTCCGGGTTTCCTTGCCATAAATAAAAAAATTACCGATCCCACCCCCTGCACCCATCATGGCATCCCATGCCCCAATCACCATCCGACCTGAGACGTCCTCTCCGCCAGGTGCAGAAACAACATGACCTTGACTTAGAAGAAGAATGCTATTATGCCTACCCACTTACACTCCCAAGAAATTCCACCCTCCCATCCTTCCCAGGCTCAAGAATGTGGCAGCGTGGAAGCGTCTGGCGCTAATATGGCTTCCAAAGCTGACAGAGGAGTCTCGAGCCCAACTTCCAAAACTTCCAAAGGATTTATTGGGAGTTTAACATGTCGGCCCTGCCTGGTGCAGCCGACTCCGAGGCAGATCGTTCATTGTCACCTTTGACCCTGGTTTTCCCCTCACCCCTCTGGGTGTATCCTAATTCCTATTCTCCAATGGGACACCTCCATAGCCCAGAGTCATCGATCATGCTCTCCCGTTAGATATTTGCGAGGCAGAAACTTCAGTCACCTAGTTACTATCTCCGAAAAACTATTTCTAGAGTGCACTTTCGATTTCCAAGCTTCCGCACTGCTCTCTCAAACCCCCTGAAAAAAATATTTGTATCAGTTGACCGGTGGGTGTGGCATGGCTTGGTGGGTTTGGCTTGGCTTGGCTTGGCGGGCATGGCAGGGGAAGATTACTGCAAAATCCCCATTCCCTCCCCATCCCACTAGCCTGCTTTCCAGCTCCGTTCTCCTGTGCAGGGCAACCAAAGAAAACCCAGCCGATCAGCTGGGACTCAATGGGAGGCAGAGAAGAGATGGGGTTGGCGGGGCCAGTCAGAGGTGGGATTGGCTGGTTCTCCAAACTACTCAAAATTTCTGCTACCGGTTCTCCAGAACCCGTCAGAACCGTCTACCTCTGCATTGGAGGTAGACGTGATGTTGAAATGAGTCTCCTGTCACCCGGGTTCTTTGCCAGGTGTCAAGCTACAACTCCCATTCTTCGCCCACCGTTCTCCTGGCAGGTTCAGCCTTATCTTTCCTGCTGGTATAGAAACAGAAATTGCCTTCAGAAGTTGTGGGAGCTTCATCCCTGGAGGCTTTGAAGAAGAGACTGGACTGCCCTCTGTCAGAAGTGGTGTAGGGTCTTCAGCTTGGGTGGGGGGTTGGACTAGATGACCTACAAGTTCCCTTCCAACTCTGATTACCTGTTGTCTGGTTTTGGTGGAGGGGAGTGAATGGCAATCTTTTCTTTTAAAAAAGGGGAGGAACGGCTAGTGATGAGAAGAGAGAGCTTCATAGCTAAGGGTGGGGTAGTCCTCGACTTACGACCGTTTGTTTAGTGGCGCAAGTGGCAACGCCACTCATAAAAAGCAACTCCAGGCCGTTGTTTTACCGTTAACGAACATTGCGGCTATCCCCGTGGTCACGTGATCTGAATTCTTGGCAACTGATCCGTATTTATGACAGTCAGAGGATCTTTGGGGTCACGTGATCCCCTTTTGCGACTTTCTGACTAATCAGGTCAATGTTGAAAAGCCAGATTCAGTGTTTCCTAACCTTAAGCTGTTTTAAGATCCATGGACTTCAATTCCCAGAATCCCCCAGCCAGCCTCCTTTAAGAGGGGAGGACTTCCACTCCCAGAATCCCCCAGCCAGCCTGCTTTAAGAGGGGAGGGCTTCCACTCCCAGAATCCCCCAGCCAGCCTGCTTTAAGAGGGGAGGA